ATTTAGTGCACAGAATCTCCAATACCACCAATATCTCTCACCCGAGCAAGAGTCGAAACTTAATTTAAAATTGATATATCTTTGTCCTCGAACATGATATATTTCATTTGGTGCAATCATAATAATGTTCATATCTCGGTCTTTCTGGAGGCATATAAGATTTTAGGCTTTATTAGCGAATCTTTGTTAATTATACAACATATCGGCAAGTGCGTAGGCGTCTGCACTCCATGCCCGACAAGCTACTGAGTGCTACTATAAAAACATATGTATCTTCACTTGAGCTATAAATATGTCTATTGTAATGTATTTAAAATGAAGCTCTTATTTCTATCTTGCTTAAGACTTATAAAACATTTGTGTTTATTAACGAATTTACGTGAAATAAACATTGATCTGAGAGAGAGTTGCTCTGTCGTTCAGTCTGTACGGGGTGGGAGCTCCGTAATTTTTAAAATACATGTATCTTCATTAGAACTTTAAGTATGTCTATGGTAAAGTGTTTAAAGTGAAGCTTATATGTCTGTCTTTCTTGAGACATATAAAATATATATGTTTATTAACGAATTCACGTGAAATAAACATTGTTCTGAGAGAGAGTTGCTCGGTCGATCGATCTGTCCGGGGTCGGAGCCGGCTATTATAAAAGTACACGTATCTTCGCTTTAAATTTAAATATGCCCATGGTAAGGTATTTAGAATAAAGCTTATATTTCTATCTTTCTTGTGACATATAAAACTCTTACGTTTATTAAGGAATCTGCGTGAAATAGGCATGGTTCTGAGATGAATGCTGCGGTTTGCGAGCTCGACAATAGACGCCATACACATCCATTGGGCGTTATTGGACCCCATACCCATTTTATGGGTGGTTGGAGCCCCATACCCATTTTATGGGTGGTTGGAGCCCCATACCTATTCTATGGGTGGTTGGAGCCCCATACCCATCCTGTGGGTTGTAGTGGACGCCATACTCATCCTGTGGGTGGTATTGGACCCCATTCCCTTCCTGTGGGTGGATGTGATCCCCATACTCATCCTCTGGGTGGATGTGACCCTCATACCCATCCTATGGGTGGTATTGCACCCCTTACTCACCTAACAGGTGGTAGTGGACAATATACCGATCCTGTAGTTGGTATAGTAGACACAATACCATCCTGTTTACAGTAGTTTACCCCATAGACATTCCAATGAACCATCGTTTTCTGTTAGCATTCCAGCAAAACATCCTTTAAAGATTTGTAAAGCACAAACTATGGTATATAATATTGATTGGTGAAGGACTGTTATTCTATGTAATCATTTTTAGTGCTTATTATAATTTACTAAGAACAACTAATATTTCTCAAAACAAAACTACGAGCCTTCAATAGGAAGTAGCTGATCTATAATATTCTAAGAGCATGGACAATAGTAGGTAAATTTCACAACCCATGTGGGAACTGAAAAGTACAATTTTCCTTATAATTGAACCAATCACGACTATTCTGCTATCTAGGTTGACGGACGGGTACTGTGAGACGTAAATTGGTACGTGAGGAAGAGTTTGGGCTTTGGAAAAAAAGTAACTGTGAATATATCACATATTTACTAATTCATATTCAACATATTGACTTTAAGCATTAAGTCATATATGTGCTGTCTTGTGTGAGAACGGGTTGGGATATTAATAGGGTATTGAAAGTATTAACACAAGACAGAACACGAAACAATGGGTATAAATTGGATAAGTTTAGATTTAGGAAAGACTTGGGTAAATACTGGTTCAGTAAGAGGGTTGTTGATTTGTGGAACCAATTACCGCATAACGTGCTGGAGGTGGGGTCCCTCGATTGTTTCAAGCGCGGGTTTGACAAGTATATGAGTGGGATTGGGTGGTTATAAATAGGAGCTGCCTCGTATGGGCCAATAGGCCTTCTGCAGTTGCCTTTGTTCTTATGTTCTTATGTTTCAGCTGTCTTACCACCTCAAGAACATAAGAACATAAGAACAAAATTAACTGCAGAAGGCCTATTGGCCCATACGAGGCAGCTCCTATTCTATAACCACCCAATCCCACTCATATACTTGTCCAACCCGTGCTTGAAACAATCGAGGGACCCCACCTCCACAATGTTAAGCGGCAATTGGTTCCACAAATCTACAACCCTGTTAGTGAACCAGTATTTTCCCAAGTCTTTCCTAAATCTAAACTTATCCATTTTATATCCATTGTTTCGTGTTCTGTCCTGTGTTGATACTTTTAATACCCTATTAATATCCCCCCGGTTATGTCCATTCATCCACTTGTAAACCTCTATCATGTCACCCCTAACTCTTCGCCTTTCCAGTGAATGCAACTTAAGCTTTGTTAATCTTTCTTCATATGAAAGATTTCTAATTTGGGGAATTAACTTAGTCATCCTACGCTGGACACGTTCAAGTGAATTTATATCCATTCTATAATATGGCGACCAAAACTGAACTGCATAATCTAAATGGGGCCTAACTAGAGCAAGATATAGCTTGAGAACCACACCAGGTGTCTTGTTACTAACGCTGCGATTAATAAATCCAAGTGTCCGATTTGCCTTATTACGAACATTTATGCATTGATCCTTTTGTTTTAAATTCTTACTAATCATAACTCCCAGATCCCTTTCGCAATCCGACTTCGCAATCACAACACCATCTAGCTCGTATCTTGTAACTCTATCATCATTACCTAACCTCAGAACTTTACATTTATCAGCATTAAACTGCATCTGCCAATCCTTTGACCATTTCAAAACCCTATCTAGATCAACTTGAAGTGATAGTGAGTCCTCCTCCGAATTAATTTCCCTACCGATTCTCGTGTCATCGGCAAATTTGCAAATGTTGCTACTCAAACCTGAATCTAAATCATTTATATATATTATAAACAACAGAGGTCCCAGGACAGAGCCTTGAGGCACTCCACTTACAACATTTTCCCACTCTGACTTGATTCCATTTATACTAACTCTCTGTTTCCTTTGGTATAGCCATGCCCTAATCCAGCTTAATATAGCACCCCCAATACCATGAGACTCTATCTTTTTAATCAGTCTTTCATGTGGCACTGTATCAAAAGCTTTGCTAAAGTCAAGGTATACAACATCGCAATCCTTACCACTATCAACTGCCTCAACAATGCTAGAATAAAAAGATAACAAATTTGTTAAACATGAACGGCCATTTATAAAACCATGTTGCGACTCAATTATTAATTTATGTTTTTCAAGATGAAGACGAATTTTATTTGCTATTATAGATTCGAGTAACTTTCCCACAATAGACGTTAGGCTAATTGGTCGATAGTTAGACGCAAGTGATCTATCTCCTTTCTTAAAAACTGGTATCACATTAGCAACTTTCCAAAACTCTGGCACTCTGCCTGACTCTATTGATTTATTAAATATGGTTGACAGTGGGTCACAAAGCTCCTCTTTGCATTCTTTAAGCACCCTGGCAAACACTTCATCCGGCCCTGGGGATTTGTTTGGTTTGAGTTTTACTATTTGTTTAAGAACATCCTCCCTGGTAACAGCTAAACTCGTCAACCTGTCCTCGTCCCCACCCACATAGACTTGTTCGGCTGAAGGCATATTGTTAAGTTCCTCTTTAGTAAATACAGATACAAAATATTTATTAAAAATACTACTCATCTCTTCATCACTATCTGTTATTTGACCTGTCTCAGTTTTTAATGGACCTATCCTTTCCCTAGTCTTGGTACGATATAACTGAAAAAACCCTTTAGGATCTGTCTTACCACCTCAAGCAGGGAATCCATCTCAGCTCTCAGAGTTCCAACTAGATTCATCAATTCTTCCATTATTGCTATAATAATGTTACTACGGAAAGACTTATCAACACAATTTGGGAAAGATTTGGGTTCGGTAACAGGGTTGTTGATTTGTGGAACCAATTACCACATAACGTGGTGGAGGTGGGGTCCCTCGATTATATCAAGCGTGGGGTTGGTGATGTATAAGAGTGGGATTGGGTGGTTATAGATAGGTGGTCTCGTATGGGCCAATAGGCCTTCTGCAATTACCTTTTTTCCTATGTTCTTATGTTCAGTTTTGGTCGCCTTACTATAGAATGAATATAAATTCACTTGAACATGTCCAGCGTAGGATGACAAAGTTAATTCCCCAAATTAGAAATCTTTCATATGAAGAAAAATTACCAAAGCCTAAATTGCATTCACTGGAAAGGCGAAGAGTTAAGGGTGACATGATAGAGGTTTACAAGTGGATAAATGAACATAACAAGGGGGATAATAATAGTCTATTAAAAGTATCAACACAAGACAGAACACGAAACAATGGGTATAAATTGGATAAGTTTAGATTTAGGAAAGACTTGAGTAAATACTGATTCGGAAACAGGGTTGTTGATTTGTGGACTCAATTACCGCATAACGTGGTGGAGATGGAGTCCCTCGATTTTTTCAAGCGTGGGTTGGACATGTATATGAATGGGATTGGGTGGTTATAAATAGCTGTATCGTATGGGCCAATAGGCCTTCTGCCGTTACCTTTGTTCTTATTATCGATTTTCTTCATTGCAAGTTGTTATTGTTGTTTTAGATTGATCTACTCTAAAAGGAACTTTTTTCTAATTTAGTAACTAAAATTTCTATGTAGCACGGGCTATGGTGAACCGGTAAACCAATACAATTGACTGCAACCGATGATGATTTCATAAATATTTCCATTTCACACAGAAATCACACTAACGTGATACATCAGTCGATTAAGGCAGTGTCTGGGATGCTCCCGGACGCAGGTTCGAATCTTCGTCACGGCCCTTGTGGATTTGTTTATTTCCATTTCGTCAGGTACATGTAGAGGTGAGGTGTTTTAACATAAATAGATCTGAAAATCTGGCAGAAAAACATCGATCGGACTGTGTGTAAACTGGCTAGAAGATAGTGTGTTGGTTATCCATTCAGTTAAGGATACATCCTGTCATTTCTACCTCCAAACATGGCAGCGGATATTGATATGAGCCTGGAAGACTATATTAAGACTCGAATGAATATGGTTGGTTCAAGAAAATGTCGAGACCGTTCAGAAGATCCTCAGAGGATGTCTGTTTTGAGCACTGTGGTTGTGGCAAGTCAATGCAAGGATATGACAGACAAAGTAAGTTACGCTTTCCTTATATTAATCTGAGATAATTAGTAAACATTAAATTTCAACTAATAACTACAAAATGTAAAGTAACCTATTTCAATCATTTCTAATGATGGAGTTTTTATGATTCTTAATGTTAACTGTATCTGAGTTAGTGAATCAGAGGCATAATATTCCGGATTAGAGGAACGTTAACTTATATTACTAGTTCTGCTTGAATGATTCCTATTTTTGTCTAAATCATTTTTCATTGAGTTTTTAAGAAGTCTTACTCGATGAAACCATGTTATATATTAAAAAAAAATCACGTTTTACAGGACAATTGCAGAAGGAGCAACACCATGCACAAGAGGGAAGGATTCCGCAATCATAAGTTGGGTGAATCGGCCAAAGTCCTCATATCTAACCTGCGATATACAGTAACAGACGCAGAAATTTATGTGAGTCAAAGAATATTGAATATGAATGAAAGAAAGTTATGAGAGAATTCTGCAGTAATAAGATTTCTAGCGCATCAGTTAACTCTAATATGAACTTGAAATATTAGTTCATATTATTATTGTATTGTAGTTCATTATTATTATTGTAGTGTAGTGCGTGCAAAACGCACAACAATAAAGTGGTGTAACTCAAGCTATTCTCAGCCCGTTTTTAAATATGTACTTGTTCTCCAATACAGAATCTTCAATCTTTTTCAGGAGCTGTTTGCTGAATTTGGAACCATTATAAATGCAGCAGTTAACAATGATAACTTGGGAAAGTCATTAGGTACAGCGTATATTGTCTTTGCCCGAGAAGCAGATGCACTTCAAGCTCTCAAGCAGTACAATGGTTTTCGTTTTCATGGCCGACCAATAGGAATCACCATGGATGGCGGATCAGCTGGTATGTCATGACATTAGATTTTCTTTGCAAGTTTTCTCTTATGGAAAGGTTGACTTCTTAGCTTTGAACATTTTCACATTAATGTATCAAGTTCTAGTGATGTCATTATCCATGTATTTGTTCTACTATGAAATATAGTAATTAATGAGTTGTATTATCTTCCCGATATTTAGGTAGTGGCGACATAAAAGATCGGCTTGACTACAACAGAGTCTACAGAAGTGGCTATCGTGGAAAAGACCGCACTGGCTACCGTCTTGGCGATCGTACTAACAAACGGAGTGCATACAAAGGCAGAAAATTCATTAATTACAGTAATAGAGATGTCGAACGTGGTGGAAATGGTAGAGGCGAGCGTGATGTAAGTAGTGACGAACGCTTTGGCTACATTGACAGCAACCACGAGAGATGGTTTGGTAGGCGGGGTACCAGGAATAAGGTATATAATGGCAATGATCCGGATATTGAGTGTGATGCCTGGTAACTCCTGACTAGAAATTGGCTATTGATAATTTTATAAAGTTTTTGTGTAGTAAACTTTAAATAATAAACTGTAATAATTTTTTGTTTAAATTTGTCTATTGGTTAACTTCAATGATGCAAGAAAATATGTTATTTTACTTATTGGAATGTGAAGCAACTGCAGCCCTGCGCAACAAACTCAACATTCATCCAACGAGAGCAGCTGGATTAGATGTAAAATCCACAGCAACTACAATAGTTAGAAAGGCAGTTGAAGAATGGATAACACTAGTGAACACTGCTTCCATATCCGCCACCACAATAACGTTATTAATATTGACCAAACCACACACTAGTCGATTGTGTGAATGATCCAGGACGGACCGAAACGTCGTCGTCCCTTTACTTTCTAGTGTGTGGTTTGTCAATATTAACAACGTTATGGTGGTGACGGATATGGAAGCAGTGTTCACAAGTGTTATCCATTCTTCAACTGCCTTTCTAACTATTCTAGTTCCTATGGATTTTACATATAATCCAGCTGCTCAAGTCGATATTGAGAATGATCCAGGACGGACCGAAACGTCGTCTTCCCTCCCTAAAGTCACGTTATTGTGACTTTATAACGTTATTGAAACAAGACTAAGACAAGTTTGCTTCGCAGAGGCTCAAAACTGTCAAAGAACAACAAACGGATACCATCTCAAGATTTGCAACTACACACATCTTCACAGATGGATCAGTTGATTAAGAATGAAGTTCTGCTTGTTTAGCAGTTTACACTTACACCCATGAAGTTACTGGAGCATGAATAGTGGGTGTTCAACTTTGCAAACAGAATAATATACCCTGAAAAAGGCAATAAATTATACAATTGAGAATAATTTACATCATGTCATCATGCATGTCGACTCTCCAGGTATTGTTATCCAGCTAGCATAGAAATCATATACAATTCATCACAGAAATCGTACATATAGGAAAAGCGCACAATCTTGAGCTGTCAATTACCCTAAATTGGAGTACAAGTCACATTGGTATAGATGGTAATGAAAGGGCAGACTTACTAGCAAAAACTGCCACTGCTTTACCGTTGTTGTTGTTTCAGATTTAGCTTCTCAGGACAAAGTGTCCATGTAGCACGGGCTATGGTGAGCCCGTAATAGAGTTTGGTTATACCTGATAACCTTGCTTCTGTGATATTAGGGTCCAAGTTTGAAATGGAGGAGGGGATTTCTCCTTTTTCCTAACTTATTTATGGCTTCTGTTTTAGTGCACTGGTTTTAATCTTATTTCATTAACATTATCTTGGTGGCGAATGTAGATGCAGAAGTCCCATTCCTCAACGCCTTTTCTAATCATTGTAGTCGCGGTGGATTGTGCATCTAATGCAGCTGCTGTCGTTGGATTAATATTGAGTTTGATGCTCAAGGACTTCAGTAGCCTCACATTCCAGTAAGTAGTGCAATAGTGGCGCCTCTGCTTCTGTTTCACAGATGTGACATTGGCTTTAACTATTGGCTACAAGTGCCAGCAGCACTTGTAACCAAGTCTGAGTCTGTCTATGGCTACTGCAATGTCTCTGGATATCTTTTTGCCAGGCTTGAACGAGGAGTAACCAGTGGCTTGTTCGTACCATATCGCAGGGGATCTTCCTTCCGCTTCTTTGGCTCTGTGGCGACTTTTGTTAGTTGAGAATATTTTCATCTTGATTTGCTCCTTTATCTGTGAGAAACTTGGAGGTATTTGAACCTTTACAACAGGTAGAGCAGCGGCAGTTTTTGCTAGTGAGTCTGCCTTTTCATTACCATCTATGCCAATGTGACTTGGTATCCAATTTAGGGTGATTGACAGCCCTCGATTATGGGCTTCTTTTCCTATATGTTGAATTTCTGTGAGGAGTTGTATATTATCTCTGTGCTGACTGGATAACAATGCCTGGAGCGAAGATTTAGAGTCTGTATGACATGTAAATTATTCTCAATTGTATAGTTTATTGCCTCCTTCAGGCCATATAATTCTGTTAGCAATGTTGAGCAACATTCATGCTCCAGTAAGCTTTATAACCATAAAGCTTACTGGAGCATGAATGTTGCTCAACATTGCTAACTTTTGTGTAAACTGCTGCCCCAGCAGAACCTTTTCCTTGATCAACTGATCCGTCTGTGAAGATGTGAGTCGTTGTAGGGTTAGAGATATTTTCCATTTGTTGTTCTATTACTTCCTTGAGCCTCTGTGGGTCACATGCTGATTTTTTAACTGGTAATCTTTCAATGATTAACTGGTAATCTTTCAATCTTTAGATTCGATTCTTCCCATGGAGGAGGCTATCGAAAGTGTGGATATGGTCTATCTTCCCCTTTGTTTTTAATGGTCCATTTCAGGTCCATTTTCTCTACAATCTTGACTACATTATCCACTGTTCTACATTATCCGCTTGTTCTACACTGTAGGTTTTTCTGAAAGGATCTCTGAATGCTGTCTTTGATTGCTGGCGGTACAGGCTAAAATACCTTCAAGTTTTTCACAGATTAAGCAGCAAATCAAGAAGAAAATACATGCAAATATCAAAAGTCGCCACAGAGCAACACTAGTGAACATTCTGCATCTACATCCACCACCAAGATAATGTTATTATAAGACTAAAACCAGTGCACTAAACAGAAGAGACAAATATTCAAGGGAAAAGGAGGAAACCCCCACCTCGATTTAAAATGAACTATTACTATTATGCTACACAGTAGCAGTATGTCAACACACAATAGAAAAGGAAATAAGTGATATAAATTTGATAAGTTTAGAATGAGGAAAGACCTGGGTAAATGCTGGTTCGGTAACAGGTATGTTACCGAACCAGCAGGGATCTATTAGGCTACTCTGCTACTGTGTAACATAATAGTTTCACATCCCTGTTACCGAACCAGCATTTTGTATAATATATATCAACACACAATAGAAAAGGAAATAAGTGATATAAACTTTATAAGTTTAGAATGAGGAAAGATGTAGGTAAATGCTGGTTCGGTAACAGGGATGTGAAACTATTATGTTACACAGTAGCCTAATAGATCCCTGCTGGTTCGGTAACCTGTTACCGAACCAGCATTTACCCACATCTTTCCTCATTCTAAACTTATCAAGTTTATATCACTTATTTCCTTTTCTATTGTGTGTTGATATATATTATACATAAGTAATATCCCCTTTTTATGCCCATTCATCCACTTGTTTACTTCAGTCATGTCTTCCCTAACTCTTTGCTTTTATAAAAAATATATAATAAGGTTTCCAGTGATGACCAAAACACAATGCAGAAGACGACTTTCGGTATGTCCTAGACCATTATCAAGTTGTGTGAAAGCAGAGAGGAAGAAAGAAAAAAAGTGAGACCTCTCTGTAGTCTCTGTCCTCCTGCCATCGATCTAATAAAAAGTGTCCGTGTCGTTTGGCTTTCCACCTCAGTTACAGGCCGGCTCCTGTGCGAGGTAAGTCACCATTGTCCGTGCTTATTGAATATTTTTGTTCCCAGTAGCTGAATCTATAACAACTTCATCGTTTGGCCTTATCTCCATCACTCCTCCCTTCTCTTCCTTATCTGATGTCAATCTCAGGACATCGTTTAAATGCAACGACTGCATCCCTCCTGTAAGATGCTTAGTCGTGATGTCGACTCTCTGTTCCTCTTGATAATGATTTTCCAAAGTCAGAAAGTTGAGTAAGGAAAGGATGTTCTCTCTATCTGATTTTATTTCACCTAAGAAATTGTTTAGGTGAAATAGATTGGAAAGTCCTGGGCAAGAAGGGTGGACCGGTCATAGAGTGAGACGTGAACCTAGCGATCGGTGATGTAGGAAGGGATTTCGATGTGGATTCAAAATGTAACTTATTGAAAAATATTCTACACCTAGCACAGAAACGTAGTATACCATGCAAATTTGAATAGATCGAATAATAAAGATCGGAAGTGGATAACAATTCTTGCTTTGAACCTTATAGGTAGGAAGAGAGCTTGGTACAAAAGGATTAAGAGTGGGGAGACGGTTCAAAGCAAGAAGTCGTCCTACTGGTTAGAAATGTTAAAACAAGAAATGCGGTCAAAAATAAACTATGAAGTTCTCATAGCAGGGAGGGCAAAGTCAAATCCTAAAGGTTTTTTCAGTTATATCAAACAAAGATTAGGGAAAGGATAGGTCCATTAAAAACGGAGACAGGGCAGATAACTGATAATGACAAAGAGATGAGTAGAATTTTTAATAAATATTTTATCTCTGTATTTACTAAAGAGTAACTTAAGGGGCCTGGTGACTGGAGATTTTTCCAAATATGAAATATAGTGAAAACAATCTAAATGAATCTCCCGTTATTTGGTATAAACGTAGTGAAAATTTCATCGGAATGTGTTAAGAAATGATTTTTTTAAATTCATGCGTGCACGACAGGCGGCAACCAGTACTGATATTAACGATAACATCTCCTATTTACTGGCAATTAGGAATAAAGAAATGCAACCACATCTCCGATGCACAAAGAAGAAAATCATTAATAAGAAAGGTTTCCAAAGTTGGTATTCAGCTGATGACACCTGGAGGGTCAGATTTCTCCCATACTAATGAGTATGTTATTATGCAGTATTTATTATATATCATATAAATACATTGCTCAATTGCAATATTTGTTATGTCTCTTTGTCTGAAAGTTGACAACTACATTTTTCTCCTTTATTTTTTATGCGGATGTTGTTGTGACTTCTACATCTTGGAGAATGTATATCCGGCACTAAGCATGAGAAGTTGGAACGAAATGGGTCAACATGTTATTAAGCCACAGGTGGCAGAAGTAGTGACTGTTATTTGTTTTGGCCGATTTATTTACAGGTTTCAAACTCTATGGTTGACCAGTCCAGCAAAGAGAACGCCTGGTCGGGTACTGGGCCGCGAGGACGCAAAGCCCTGAAACCGTCTCAAGGTAACATCAAGGCTGTCATTAACATATCTATATATATTTGTGGGGGAAGGTGGTATTTTTTTGTGACTGGATTTAAACACATATTGACCCACAACTTTCACATATTCGAGTACGTTTAGCAGTATGTCTAACGAATGCGAAAAGGAGTTTTGCGAGCATTGTCTACCATATTTAAAAAATCATTAGAGTCATGCAGAATTTCAGAGTCGTGGAAAGTTTCTAATTTGGTACCAATTTTCAAGAAAGAAGATAGATCACTTGCGTCCAACTATCGGCAAATTATCTAAACGTCGATTGTGGGAAAGTTACTTGAATCAATAACGGCAAATACCATGCATCTTCATCTCGAATAACATAGTAATAATAGGTAGTAATAACCATAGTAATAATAGGTAGTAATAACCATAGTAATATTATTATAGCAATAATGTAAGGATTAGTAATAATGTAAGGAAGTAATAATGTAAGGAAGGAACTGATAAATCTAGATGGAATTCTGAGAGCAGAGAGAGAAATATCTCCGTACGACAGAATTCGTACGGAGTACGATTCATGGTACGACAGAATTATGTCGAGGAGGTACGACAGCTGAAATAACATCAAGAAGAAACGAAGGAGGAGGCCAATATTAAAAAGACCTCGTCGTAGAAAGTCGTAAAGGACAAGGGTCTTAAGAAGACCTTGACAAGGCCGCCTACAGACGCCCTAACGACTACAAATTCATTTGCCGTGGTGGAAGACGAGTGCTGTGGTGAGCCTGCAGTTCACTCGAAAAGGAAATCAAAGAAGAGCAATGAAGCACAAGCCCCTCAAGGTGCTCAGAAAGTTAAGGAGGCATCTAAGCAAATTTTGGTTGTGGGAGATTCCCAGGTGAGGTACTTAGACAAAACGTTTTGTGCTAGAAATAGGGGGAACAGGTTAAGGGTTTGCTATCCCGGAGCTGGAATTGGTGACATTATAAACAACATGAATGATATTATGGCTGGAAATGGAAATAATCCCATTATTTGTATTAGCACCTGATGAAATGTTGTTGGTCGAGTTAGGAGTGAAGACTGATTCAGAGGTATAAAACAGCTTTTGATTTGTGGAACCAATTGCCGCGTAACGTGGTGGAAGTGGGGTCCCTCGATTGTTTCAAGCGCGGGTTGGACATGTATATGAGTGGGATTGGGTGGTTATAGATAGGAGCTGCCTCGTGGCCAATGGGCCTTCTGCGGTTGCCTTTGTTCTTATGCTCTTAACTTAATTACAAATATTTTACGCAAAGCACAGGAAAGTACTATGCCTCACAAATTGAATAGATCAAACACAAATGTCCCGAAATGGATAACAAAGGATCTGAAAAACCTTATACGTAGAAAGAGAGCTTGGTACAAAGGGATTAAGAATGGGGAAGTCAGTTTTGAACAAGAATTCGCACAACTGGTTAGAAATGTTAAAAAAGAGATAAGGAGAGCAAAAAGAAACTATGAAGTTCGTATAGCAGGCCAAGCAAAGGCAAATCCTAAAAGTTTCTTTCAGTTATATCGAACAAAGGTTAGGGACAGGATAGGTCCATTAAAAATCGAGACAGGTCAGTTAACGGAGAAGAGTTAAGTTAATGTTGTAATGCTAATGAAGAAGAGATTAGTAGTATTTTTAACAAATGTTTTATATCTGTATTTACTAAAGAAGAACTTAACAATATGCCTTCAGCTGAACAATTATATGTGGGTGGGGATGAAGACAGGTTGACTAGTTTAGCAGTTACCAGGGAGGATGTAATTAAACAAATAGTAAAACTAAAACCAAACAAATCCCCAGGGCCGGATGAAGTGTTTGCCTGGAAGCTAGACGTAGATATGTAAGAATACTTAGCAAGAGGGTAAATATAAAAATGTTGTGGATTCCTTCTCACATCGGCATGCAGGAACATGACAAAGTTGACGCCCTTGCTAAGGCTGCAATAAATAAAGACAGTATTGAATGGAATCTTGAGTTATCAAATAGGTCCCTTAAAAGTGTCATTAGACGAGAACTCCTAGATGGATTTGAAGAAAGTAGAACAGTGCAAACTGGAACTAGTAGGTTCATTGTTCATCACAATGAAATGTGTGAAGTAAAACATGTGTATGGGCAAGTAACAAAGTCAGTAGACTAAC